TTAGCATGTGTCGCTAACTTTAAATACTAAGGTTGTGGACCCCAAATGGGTGTTATATTAATGAGTGTTTAACATTGAATATATGTATAATGGTTGGTTGATATATATTTATTTCTCATTCTTCATTTATTGTTGGTGGTTGCAAACATAAACAAGTGCCATTAAATTCTTTCTTTACTTGGAAAAGTGAGTTAGAATTTGGTAGAAATAAGTATCAAAGACTCAAGGCTCTAAACCTTGTTTAATAGAATCACTTAGGAATAAATGAGTTTTATTTGGCATATATTGATTGTTCTTAGTTGCAACTCTTTTATATTTGGAAAAGTCATAAAGAGGAAATACTACCCAACTATTGAAAAATATTGGGTATTCATTTAGAAATCATTTGTATATCTAAAGAACCTTCCATTAGAAATATATCATATTAACACCGATAATATTACATTCCATTGAAGGGGACACAACCTTGGTTTCCTTAATCAAATTATTTACATTCTCAACATTACAATTAGTTATTTCTTAAAATCACAATCATATCATACTCTTGTTACAATTAACCGAATAGAATTACCACTTAAGTCAAGTAACACACTACTCGAGTAATCTTTTTACACCTATTCCATGTGGGATTCGACCCCAATCTTGTTGGGTTATTATATTTGATACCGACCGCCTTACACTATTTAATTAAAGTGTAATTTGAGAATATCAAGTTATGGCATAGTATGACCTACCTAGATAAGGTAAAAATCATGTGGTTATAAAACGGGTTCTATGAAACAAAATGTTGCAATAATCGTAATTTCAACAAAATACCGAGCAAAGAACTTTAGTATACCTACAAATGCCCAGAGGGACATTTCATCAAACTTTATATATGTTTGCAAAGTGAGGCCTAGAGATTAGCTAGAAGCTAGAGGAAAAAGGGGAGAAGAGTCGCATAGGCGCACTTACAAGGTCAAAGTCGTACAGGGTGCATAATAGAAGCTAGCAATAGTTACGATATTGGAAGGAATTCGATCACAAGTCATGGCGTGGTAAAGAGGCCTAAAGGGGGGAATGCCCTGGCTTTTGGAATTATTCAAAGAACAGTTGCCTAAATGGAAAGGAGAATATTAAAGTATTCGTAATGAGCTATGGGTAATGAGAATAATAAGTGCGCCAGTCAACATTCAAGGACGAATATTCCAACGAGGGGAATAATGTTACGCCCTGCAATATTATGTCGATATTTCATCCCGTAGTATTATATTACGATGATGTTATGCCTTGCAGTACTACATTACGATGATATTACGCTTTGTAGTATTAAATTATGACGATGTTGTACCCTGTAGTATTGTACGCTAAATTTGTCATAAGGTAATTGATATCAGTCCAAGGAAAAGATTATTTGGAGATTATAAAGACGATATTTCAAACAAGTGATGAGTAAATTCGTGAATGTGAGAGGGGAAGCAAGTCAAAGAAAATAAATTTTCGTCCAAGTTTGGCATGTTTGGATAAAATACGGGCCGAGCATTAATACCCGATATTTACGGACTAGTACCATACAAGGTACCATATGACCATGATAGTAGGATGTATAAAGTGTATTAAAAATAAGTAGAATTTTAAGTAATTTGAGACAATTCTTAATTATGCGGGTAATTGGTTAATTATCGGATAGCGAAATATTACCTAATTAATTAATTGATTAATGGATAAGATCCAAAATCTCACGTGGCAGCCAATTACTAAACCAACCGTATGACTCTTAGTCATAATTCATGACTAAGAATCATTTTTTATAGGTGGCAAAATAATGTGAAGTCTTACATATCAAGACCAATATAAAACTAATGAAAAGTTTTTCATTCCAAATATTTTTTTTTTATCAAGGATTACCATCAGAAGTGGGGGGAAGGATTGTTAGCCATTTTTTAAAGGCTTTCAATCAAATTCATTTCCAAAAACACTTCAAGCAAACTACTACTTTAATAACGTGATTTCTCAACTAAAATCCGACGAGGTTTGTTAGCACAATTAGCAACGTGAAATTTTGCGATTCTAAGGGAGTCCGGTGCAACCTTTTTCAAGAATATCGTACGGATGTTTATCTACTACTCCATGTATGTTAAGACTAAACCTTTCCTTCATTTTGGCATGATCTCATAACCACATGAGTTTGATAACGAGGTATGAAGAGAAATTCATATTCCTGAATTTATGTACATTTCCTAATCTGATAAGTTACAGTATTCTCCCTTATCGGGACGTCATATTCAATTGAGTATTGTCTTGTTCCAGTCAAGAGAGTAGATAGCCTATATATATATATNGATACATAGCCTAGTATGGCCGAGCACCTATGAGAGAGCCTACTACGACAGAGCGGTTATATATATGTATACCGAGCCTTATAGGGTCGGACAACTATTTTACTTACTATATTGAGAGAGTTGAGTCAATATCAGCAGGTGAGCATATCTTCAGATTTTTTTGACTCCCAGTTACTTTCAGTTATTATATTATCAGTTCAGTTTCAACTTTCAGTATATTGCCTTACATACTCGGTACATTATTTCGTACTGACGTCCCTTTTCTGGGGGCGCTGCATTTCATGCATGCAGGTTTAGACAGATAGGGCGGTAGACCCCCTCATTAAGTGTTGCTCGAGTTCAGCTTGATCGGTAAGCTCCATGCCTTTCGGAGTTGCCGGGTCTAGAGCTTTATGTACATCTTGTGTATATATGTATATATGGTATGAGTAGGTCGGGGATTTGTTCTGATCATAGTATATCCACAGTAGAGGCTTGTGGACATATCCTATCAGTTAGTGTAATATGTTGGGCTTGTAGACCCTATATGTATATTTGGTTGGTTTGTCAGCTGCAATAATTATGGCGGTCTTGTCAGCCTAGCTTTATATTGATATTTAGTCAGCATTCACAATTGTCTTGCAATGTGGACATCAACGACATTACATGATCAGAGTCACTTAGTCGCAAGATAGGTGAGGCATCAAGTGCCGGTATCACCCACAGGCTCGGGGCGTGACAATAGTGTTTAGGAGTTCTGCAGAGGCTGAATACAGAAGCATTGCAGCTACAATAGCTAAACTCATTTGGCTACAAGGACTTATGCAAGAAATTAGAATTAAGGTAAACTTATCTATTGAAATTTATAGTGATAGCAAGGCTGCTATGCAGATTGCCGCCAATCCTGTATATCACGAGAGAACTAAAAACATCGAAATAGACTGTCATTTTATAAGAGAAAAGATAATGCAAGGACTGATAGTAACAAAGTATATTCCTAGCAAAGCTCAACCAGCAAACATTCTTATCAAGGGCCTGAACAGAGTTCAACATGAACATCTAAGCTCCAAGCTAGGAGTTCTCAATATTTTTACACCCCCTAGCTTGAGGGGGAGTGTTGAAAAAGGAGTAATTTAAGAAGGGCAAATTAGCAATTTCACAGCTAGTGCTAACCGAAATTAGGAAGTAGTTAAGACTTTCATTAGTTAGTTAATCACTAACTATATGATGTAATCTCTCACATTTGTAAATACACGGAAGAATACAATTCTCTCTTCAATCTAGACTCTCTTTAATTCTATCTCTGTATTACATCTTCTTCCGTATGTTCTTCTAGGGTTCATACCCTATTAATTCATGAACAATTACAGAAACCAATGAAAATATTGGAACTTTATATATGTTTGAAGTTAGGAAAAACTCTTGAAGGCTTGGTTAAACCATGTTAGAGTTGTTTCATTATGCATTCCCGTCGTAAAATTTGATGTGTTATTTCTACAATCACAACGGATAATCAAAGTCTTCTCAAAATAGTCAGAGAACTTAGAGTTGAAAGTGATAATAATCATATAGATACATGTCCAAAACCGTTTGAGCAGTACATATTCAACTGCTTCTTTTGCAATTCTTTTATCGTATTTTCACCACAAATTAAAAGAGATCACTGAATATATACAGCTTAAAAATATAAAAGAACATCTTTAGGCGTGAAGCACGGCTCTAGTTTGAAAATCCAACAAAATTCTTTTAAAAGAAGAAAAGAAAAGTATACTTTTAAAAAGCTTGCATTGAGTAACTGTGAGGAAATCGGACTGCCATTTGTCAAATGCATGGATTAAAAGAAGAATCGACACGCTTTGCATATAATTTAAGTAGCTATGCTACTCTCTTAGTAGGAAAGAACAAGATATCTTATTAATAATGTATCTGGAAAATAAATTAATACTTAACAGACAAACAATTAAATGAAAGAATATACTGTATACAACTAGCTATCAATACATGTTCTCCATTAAAAAGATACTCAAAAAAGTTTGAAATTCCACTCCATTACAACAACAGCTTCCATGTTTCTTGCAGATTTCCCGAACATAATTTGATTCTTTAAAACACTTTTTTCAATGTTACTAATTATTCCTTTTTCCGGCTAATAAATCATAATACTTCCAAAAGGAAGAAGACGTAAAATTCAGATTTTTATTCTTCTTAACCATTGAAAAATCTCCCTAAACCTTCAACCAAACTCTAACTTTATAAAAGAGGAAAAAAGGGAGAAAAAATTCAATTAGCAACACTACTTGTGAGTATCGAATTAAAACTTGTTTAAGATAATCTACAGTTGTTTCGGTTTGCCCTTTTTTTGCCAAAGAATTATTCACAAAGCGCATAATTAAGCTAGAAGATTATATTCGGTAAGGTGTGGAATAAACAAAACAATCTCATGATCTAATATTTTCAAGAAACAATATAGTGGTCCATCCTATACAAATATTTCAAAAAAAAAGAAAGGATGCCTTTCTCTGACCTCTCTCTAGAAAACCTCTCTCTAGAAAACCTAGAAGAAGAAGCCTAGTTCTTCTCTTAGACAACAAAGTTCCATTCCATCAACTACTACTCATATGTCAAATGCAAGAAGAACAAAACTTAGGAAAACAACAGAATGCAAAAACCACACATGCTCTCAACGGCAAAGACGCAGAAATGGAAAGTATTGCAGAAAACAAAACAAATGCACAGGGCTCTCAACAGCTCTTGAGCTCACTAATGGACAGCCCACAACACTCTAATGGAAAACAGGACCAAAAAAATACCTTCTTATCCAAGCTGCAAGAAAATCAAGACACTACTCAAACCAAAAACCACATAACAGTACAAAAATCTATCCTTGGCTTTGATACTTCGGATGAAACTGAAAACATCTTTGATTCGGACAACTTCATACCCATAACTTCAGAGGATAAGGAAAGAATATACAAAAATTGGGAAAATGTTCTAATAATAAAAATATTCGGCAGACGAGTAACTTACCAATTCCTACAACAAAAAATACATGCCATATGGAGACCTACAGAGCACCTATCACTGATTGACCTTGGATGCGATTATTATCTAATAAAGTTCACTAGACAGGAAAACTACGACAAAGCATTACACGAGGGGCCTTGGTTCATCGGAAATCAATTCCTCACTGTTAGGAAATGGGAGCCTAGGTTCATTGCCTCAACAGCATCACTGACCTTCTCAGCTATCTGGGCTAGATTACCAGAGTTCTCAACGAAGTTCTACGACTATGAGATTCTTCACAAAATAGGAAACAAACTAGGGAAACTTTTTAGGATCGACGTGTGCACTACTTCAACCACCAGAGGCAAATATGCAAGATTATGTATCCTAACACCCAATGAGAAACCCCTTATAACACACATCATAATAGGAAACCACTACCAAAAAATAGCCTACGAGGGTTTCAATCTCATGTGCGAGTCATGTGGACGACTAGGACACAATACAATCAATTGCCCTCATACTGCATCTACTTCTAAGCCAAAACCTGCTACTAACAATGACATGAACATGGAGGTTGATACCCTAACCAAAGTAATAGACTATTGGACAATAGTGACACATAAAGAAAACGCAACAAAAAGATCACTACCTATTACTAACCAAATCGATGAATCTGCCAAGACCACTACTGGGCAACAAGGCATGACAAGTGTCAAAAATGGAGAAGTCCCAATTGACAACTCACAAGGGCAACAACAGAAACATACGACCAACCCAAAAACCTGTTAAACCCAGCGGACAAAAACAATTACCCTTGCAAAAACCATATCTCAGACAACAATACACTAGACAACCCTATCAACATGGACCAAAAAACTATAGGCAAATCTAGTTGCTACAACACCCAAACGGTACCCTTGCCCAAAAGCACATTGGAAAACCAAACACCCCTACCTTTATCAAACATCTCCACATCACAGTTAATGCCCCACTTCAATACCTTAGAGCCCACAGAACCTGCAACAAAAAAGAAGGTCAAACCTACGTATAAACCTAGCGGGCAACTTCCTATGAACCAGGAGACAATGCAAAAATCTGGAGACTCCGTACAAAACCTAACTACAAAGGACAACTCAATAGATATAGACCAAAAACAAAGCTTAGGCAAAGCCCCATCAACATTAATTAGCGATTACAATCATCCTAAGACTAGGCTTCCCACCTCCAAAAAAGAAGACATTACCTCAAATGATCTCCTGTCACAAATCACTCCAACAAAAACAATTGAAAAACTCCTTTCGGACCAAAAAGCTGGTCATCCCATCCCAACAGACGTGTACATCACCCCTATGTATAACAAGTTGAACTATTTATCTACTAACTCAAACAAGCCCTCATCATCCAAACACTCATCTCCCATTCTGCCAAAAACCAAAGAGCATAACCATGGTCAGATCCCGCCACACAAATTTTCAACGCAGATACAACAGGAACAGGAGGAATGTTTGGATGAGAAATCAAACAAGAACACCTCACTATGCACACCATGCTCCATACCCACCCATGAACCCTCGGAGCCAATAATATACACAACAACACCATTACCAATGAATCATGCTCCACAGTCATGGCTGGAATATGGACTGACAGGCTTCTCCCTCAACTTGAATCTCAAGTTGGAAGGGCGAGACATCACGATTCAGCTGGAAAATTCGAGCTACCTTGCTCAAATAGTGACGGAGGGGCTGAGGATAGGGCTGGACAACGCGGCAAACCACCCATGGCTGGCCTTGTTCAACAACCAAATGCCTCCCCCTGTGGAATTTGGCAAAGTCCCACATCGGTGGGATAGCCATTTTGGTTGTGAATTTTCCCTACAAAAGAAGGCCTAATGTTTAGGATTTAAATACACCTCTTATTTGCCTTCTCATCTGTTTAAGGCATTTGTATCTTCTCTCTTTAGTATTATTTCACTTGTATATTTGGAGTGGAATAAAATATTGGTTGTGTCCGAGGAGTAGGCAAAATTAGCCGAACCTCGTAAATTCTGGTGTTCTCTTTATTGTTGCTTTATTGTCTTATTTATTTATTATTTGGTGGTTGTCATAATTTTGGTATAGTAGTTGTGACTTATTCACACTATATACATTTGGCTTCCGCAACAATTGGTATCAGAGCCAAGGTACTGTCTTAGTATGCTCTATGGTTGCAGCATAGTCTGATCTTCCATATCAGAAAAGATTTATCTTGGTAACTGTGTCAAGATTCTGTCTTAGTATGCTCTGTGGTTGCAGCTTAGTCTAATCTTGCACACCAGAAAGGAAATAATCTTGATATGTGTCGTCAACTATTAAATAATATTTGTGTCAAAGTTGGGAGACAATAAACAAGAAGAATCTACATCAAGTGT